TTCCAAACTGCAAAAAGCAACACCTTCTCAAATCAAGGATTTGTACGTAAATTCTGTTAATCTTTCCACTTTGTTTAGCTTCCAATGGAGTATATATTTTCATCATGCAAATTATCTCTCTCCTGCAGTGATGTCTCCCACCTTTACCTAATGGAGTTCAGTTCATCCTGTTCTACCTTGTCCACCGTCTTTCTTTTTAAAGTGCATTTAAAATTTTTTTTCCAAAAGAGAAATCAACAATTTGTTAATCGTTCTTTCCCATGGGTAGGACAGTAATCCTCACCTGAAATCTCCTGCTGTAAACTTTGCCTCAGCAAGTGAAAAGGCAGCTTCTCTCATCACCTCACCCATCAGCATCTTAGTCTGTTTAAAAAAAAAAAACAACAAAAGAGAGGCAGCAAATACAAGGCACATCATTACTCCTTTTCCAGGGTAAATAACTAACAGCATAAAGAGAAGAATGAGAAATTTAAGAGAGTGAGAAAGTCCTGTATGCGTAGCTTACTCTCAAACTGCAAATCGTAATTCCCAGGTGACTGGCAAAAAAAGAAATACTTCAGCTGTGTCACTGACCCAGTGTAGAACTCACAGAAATGGCGAAAGACTTGTCTCTCTTAATAATCATAAAATTCTACTACAAGGGGGTTAAATCACAACAATAAAATGGCTCAGTAGGAAAACACTTCATATTGTACCGAATACTATGAGACAGCTGAAGTTGTTTTTCAACATGTACATATATGTGGCTTTGTGAATCTGCACTCTCCTCCTGCTCTATTTTTCCCCCATTTTTACACATTTGAAGCCCTTGTAGCTAATAGACACGCTATTGAGAAGCAAGAGCCTTTGTATATTAGACAGCCTATAGGAATCAAGACACAGAGTGCTAAGAGCTTGTCAACAGCATGGCAACAAAGCACTACTGATAACCATGGATATCGTAGCAGTTGCAGCCAAAACAGTACAACTAAAACCCGTCCAGTATGGTAGAACAGAACAAGCCGTATTAGGCTCTACTGAGTTATCTTAGATTTGTCGTTCATGTTGCAACAGAAGAAGCAGGACTTGGTGTTTCTTCATAAAGGAACAAGTTCCATCTGGACAAAACTTCTGCTTTCTAGTGTAGCTAGTCATGCAGGAAACATTATAGATCTGCAGTATCCTCTCAAGCCAGATAAAGCAACAAAAATGGGGCTACAGAACATGTTAAATCCACCCCTAAAGTATTTGGCAGCATCAGAGCAAATTCCCTGTAACGTAGAAGAGATGATAGGGAACTCGTGACACAAAAGAAAGCAGACCCTAGGACTGGTTGGAAAGAGGTGAAGAATATTAACTCTTACAAAATTTCTATATCATTGCAGCCACAAAAACATAATTCTGCTCATCTGTCCTCACTTACAGTAGCCTCACTTACTTATCCACGAAGTTGTCCTACATTCCAGCCTACCTAATGAAGTTAGCAGAACGGGAATGCACAACTGACAGAACAGACAGATTTCAAATAAAGTGAGCCAAACAGGAAAATTCTAATTTACCTACCTCAATAATTTTCTTAAGGATCTGCCTGAATCGAAGTGTCAAAGCATCAGATTTTTTCTTCAAGAGGTTACGACCTGTTTGGGCTCCTTTCAAACGAGCCTTCATGATGGTCTGAGCCCTGTTAAACAGAGGAATAAATACAAATATCCTGCATCATCCAAAGGGATTAGGAAAAAACTTATGCGAAGTTTTCTGACATGGACATGACTGAAATTATGAAGCAACCAAGAAACATCAATGCAGTAAAACAGGATGGCCAATTCAGGACAGAATTTTATGTTCCTATTTAAAATTCCTATACGGGAATTTATTATATTTACCTCCATCATCAATGAGAATTACAAGGTTATTATCTGCAAAGTCAAAGATCATGGAAAATTGACAGGTCATTTTTCAGCGCTTCCATAATAGGAAATAAGAGTTTTCATTTTTCTTGATGACTTACAAGTACCAGAAATGTACCAGAAATCAAACTACCCCAAAAGCCCACTGTCAGTGTGACACTGGTATTGCTTTTAAGCTCTTTTACTGCTATGTCATCTTTTCAAAATCAGACAACACAGCAAATTCTTCATGTGATCCTAACTGTTGATGCTGTGTTCTGATTTTATAGAGCAACAAGATACAGCAGTCGTACATTCTGGTTTAGAGAAAGTCAGCAAGTACAATGATTCCATATCTTCATATGCTGCACAGGAGATTTACAAGCTATTTGAGACAATCAGAAGTAGCGTCAGTGTAAAAGGGATATTAGTAAGCTAGCTGTAGCATTGTATATCCTTTACTTGCAGTAGCACACTTAGGGTTTCTCATACGGAATTAGGAACTGAAGAAGGATCCAAACCTTGCTTCCCTCTCTGCTGTGGAGTATATTTTAATTTGAAGAATCTTTTTGATTTAAGTTAACCAGGATAGCAGGAGCTATACTACAAAAACCACAAGCTGTGCTAACTTAAGCTACCACTTCATACACACAGCCACTACAGACAAAGGACAATACTCAAGTCAACTCTATGTGAAGAGAAGCCTTATACACTTCCTCTCTGACCTTGGAAAAAGTAAGTATAATTAAGATTCTACCTAGACAGTGGAATCCATTACTTTCCACATCTATTGGCATGTGATGAGAATAGCTCCATTAATATCTACCAAATACTTATAACTGAAAAGCACAAATACTTTCTGAATGTTTATGATTAAAAAAAAACAAAGAGTAAAAAGGCAGCTTTACTTTCACAACGAGCAGGTCTCTGTCACCACCTTGAACTAACTTGTTTGCTCTGTTCACCACCTGCCAGAGACTGGCTGACCGTCTAGTTCAAGCAAGATTTCACAGGCTCTGAGAGTGCACTAAACAAAGTCTTGTTTACCGTCAAGGAGACTGAGCAGCTTCTGTAAGTGGTCATATCCAGCACAGAAGAGGCTCATACCAGCAAGCCACTTCATAAAGATAAAAAAACAAAACAAAAAAAACCAAACCTTGTGAAATTCTGTTCTGTCAGCTAATAAAAAAAATGTTGCTGAGGCAGGCCATCTTTATTTTATCATCCTAGCTTACATTCCTATCAAAACATCAGCCTCATTTGAAACAGGGCCCGTAAATATTAAGCCTTTGTACCTCACCACCTTGCCACAATGACGTATCAGCCCACAAAACCAGATACCTTTTAAAAGTGACTGAAGTGCCTCCTCTTTGGACATGTAGATTGAATGAAGAGAGCACTATTGAAGAGCAGGAGTGAGACCCGTGACTTGGTATATGCAATAATTTATTTCTGAACTAAGTTTCAAAACAGAACCGTTACCCTGTAGTGTATTAATCTTTCCATACAAACTGTTATTTCGTATGTCCTGAGCTCATGTATGGGAATAATTATTATTTTACATCTGAGGTCTTCTGTCCTGCAAGGAACCTCTTTATAAAGACTACATCCAGGCATCAACCCAATTTTATGCAAGAAGACTTGAAACAGCCTTTCACCTCAAGGCAAAGTCCTTCTGTCCTGGAGGGTTCTGAAGAGAAACTGAACAGCATTATTAAAACAGCAATTTTATTAGCAGATCAGTTTCAATTGTTTGTGTTCGTTCCCATGTTGGCAACTTTCTAAGCCTTGTCAGGAGACATCTGATTTCATGACAAATAGTTTGCTGTCAGGATCTGGAAAATTACTTGACTGACCACTGCACTTGACGCATTTTACTTCCTTCTTCTTTTTTAACACTTTATGGCCAACCTCTTGCACAGCAGTATCGTCTATTAAAAAGTGAAGGGAAGCTATGGTTCGATTTGCGCATTTTTTTCTTATACACATATTCTACAAATTGCTCTTTTTAAAACCAAGGTTTGCGTAATTGCTTGATTTTAAATAGTCCCCCCCTGCCACTGGAAGCCGCTTGCTTCTTGGTACGGGACTCTGCAATGGCCCTCTGATGACTGACAGCGGAGATTTTGAGCCTGAAAAGAGAAACTGAAGAGAAGATCTAACTGCAGCCTTCAACTGCTTACCGAAGCGTTTTACACAACACCCAGAGGGAGACACTCCTTGGAGGCGGGCAGCGCCCAGGGCAGCAGCAGACACACAGCCAACAAAACCTTTTCCAGCGCCGGAGCCCAGGGGGCAAGGGGAGCCCGGAGAGCCCCCGCCTCGGCGCCCCCCAGGGCTGC